GAGACTGACTGGTCTGTAGTTCACTGGGTCTCCCATTTTCCCCCTCCTATAATCGGGGTTGTATTTCCCTTTTTCCAATTGTAGGGAACTTCACCTGACTGCCATGATTTTTTAAATGTGATGGACAGGAGCTTAGCAACTTCATTCACCAGCTCCTTCAGGAACTGTGGATGGATTTTATCATGTCCCTTGGACTTTTGTATATTCAGGTTCTTAAGATGATCTTGAGCCTGATCCTGCCCTACAGTGGGCCTAAGGTCTTCATTCTCACAGTCCCAAAGTCTTTCTTCTCAGGCCTGCTCTCAATCCAGCCTCCATAAACTGGAAATACAAGTATCATAGTATCATTATTATTCCATTCAAAATGCTAATGAATTACTATTAGCATAAGCTTATGGTAATTACTTTTCTTCTCTGAGCCTAACTACAGTCTCATATGTCTGTTTAGTTAGTATCTATCTTCTCAGCAGCTGTTTGGACCTTGCCTGTTGGGAATGTAATAGTGATGGCCCTACATGGCCCCGTATACATGAAAATGGCCCTAAAATACACGACAGAAACAAGTGATAGGCTGGAAGAACACTGCAGAGATCTGCCCAGCCTCGCACAGCTCACCCTGTGGGTTACCTCCAGAACCACAGCTCCAAACAGAAAACCATCTAGACATGCCTGTCCAAACAAAACTGGCCCCTCACTGTGCACAGCCCTGAGAGCAGAGCAAGTCAACATCATACATTTACATATCATGTAAACGTATCTGTACTAAAACTTCAACTGTTAAGAAATGAAATAAGGTAGAGAATAAAATTCCCACAAATTTCACCAGGAAAGGCTGGTTCCATCTGTAATGCAACAGCAAAAGTGTGCAATACTAGAAGTTTTCTTTGGCAGAATAAGTACTTTTTAAATGTGAAGGTTGCCTGGGTGTCTTCACCCAAACAAGCAAGCAGGATTGCAAGAGTCAAACAGAACATCAGATGATCATGTTATTTAAGTTGCCATCAGTTGGAAGGGGGAGGCAGTGACATATAATTATTTCTTTTCCTTTCTTTCCTCTGTTTTCTAAGCTCATGGTGTAATGAGTACGTATGAGTATTAACATAACCTCTGAGTCTTACCCTTGAAGTGCACAACTATTGAAACAAAATGCAGAGGACTCTGCAGCACTTATGTTTTAATTCAGAGTAAGTGATACTGAAAATAATTTTGAGCTAAAGAAAAAGAGAGCATTTCAGAGCATGGCACTATTTATTTTCAGAAACCTTTCTTTTATTTACCTTACAAGAAGTTGAAGCAACACTTTCCTTGAACCCCTGTGTACAGAGTACATAATAATGATGAGAATTTTTTATTTAATACTTTATGAAATGTCTGACCCTTGAGGCATAATAACATGCTTAAAATACACTTAACAGTACCCTCTGGCTAAAAAAAGTTTCCAGCTCAAACTTAAAAAATATCCCCTTTAGATGCTTACTTTGACTATGTGCCCAGTGTCAATGGCAAAAGTGCTTCTGTTTAGAAAGGATGGTTCGGCCAAAATTCAACTTGTTTTTCAGGAATAGGAAACCAAAGAGAAAAAAAAGTAGTAATAAAAGCCACACCAAATAAATGATCATTCTCCTTTACATCATAAGTGAATGTACATATGCATGCAAATCTTACTGCTCAAAGCTGGTACTGGACAGCCCTTTCACAAGGAGAAGTTGCAGTGCTGCCATCTGATGTTGTGGATGCAGGAAGACCAGGCTGGTTGTGACACAGGCACAGCAGGAACAGGCTTTTCTACCATCCCCAGCAACTTTTCAAACAACTCCATATCAGACTAGGCACCCACAGGTTTTGACCGTGGTCCGTCTGCTTTTCATTTCCACTACAACGATTAATATTCATGTAGTTTCACAGAGCCAATAGAATCACAGCAGATTGTAAGAGACAATCAGGAAAAGCAGTTATTTTATAATTACTTGCATCCATAAAAAAGGCACCTGAAATGTTCTGGGGGAAAACAGAAGAGAAAACTGGTCTTCATTTTCCCCTGTCAGACTGAAAGACAAAATACAAGGTTTACAAAAGGCTGAATTAACAAAACAAGCTGAGAATCTTCCACCTGATGGTAATAGCTATTGCTGGAACTCAGAGGCTCAGCCAGTGTTTCCACAGCCATTCTTCAAGAGCACAAAAAGGGCACTCTCTCCCCCCAGCCATTTTTATTAAAAATACACTGAAAACTCCTGACAGGCAAAAGCTATTTGAAAATCAGAACTGTAAGCCTTACGACAGATTTTCTGGAGCTGGCTTTCAAGCTCACAAGTACACATTTGCAGGTACAACCTTTAGCTGACAGAACATAACCACCTCACTATACGTGACTGCACACAGCTACCAAGGGGCAGGTTTTTGATCCAGGACTCAAAAATGTACTAACCAAATAGTAAATCAACTCCCCCCGCAAAAAAACCAACCACCAAATACACAGAGTGTGGGTGCTTTCTGGATAATTGTTCAGAGAAAAGGCCCCTCTATCATCTGTCTTGACAAACGCACTTTACATGTACAACTGCAGAAATGAGGCAGGCAAGCCAGCTGAGATGTATGCCTCATTTATTTGAAAGGCTGTCTCCACTTTGTTGTTTAGCCTGCAGAAAGCAGAGGAAATACTAATATCCTTGAAAACTTAGACTGGCTTCTCACAAAACAATGAAAATGCCTATTTTTTTTCCCCCCTCTATTCATATTCATTTTTGACTATTGATTTCTACTTGCCCTTTGCTTCTCTGATTCTTGGCCAGCTCAACTCGCAAAGGATAACCCCCGAGGCTCAAGCCTTTCAAAGAAGATACAGCACTCTCTGCAGTTGGTTTATCCTTGTAATCAAGAAAAGCCCTGTGCTGTGCTCCTTGCCAATTCAGACGTAAAGGAGTTACATGGAATTCCCTTAAAGCACATTTCAGCTCACTCACTCTTACGCTGGGAGATATGTTCCCCAGGTACACAGTAGTAATCCTGCCAGATCCGTCTAATCTGGGACTTAAAAAATCACCTTCAACACAGTGTTTTCCTATTTCAGCTGAGCCCATAGCAGCCTGCGGTCTTGTATTTTCAGCCATTGCCCTCTGATTTAATGCTGCTGGTTTTTTGGTATTTGCCAAGTCTGGATGTGCATCTTGGAGGGTAACATCCTTGCCAGCCCGCTTCTCCTTGTAGCGAAGACTCCTTAGGATGGGGATTTTTCCCAGCATCTCAGAGGTGACCTAAAAAGGAGGAAGACAGATACAATTACGAGATTTCTTGCCTTCCAGAAAGAGATGACGACCATCAGGACTCATCTGCACCATAAAAAGAGGAACCTTATTATATTGCTACCATTCAGAGTGCCAGAGTATTCAAAACGTTACTAATTGCTGGCCTGATTCTAAACTTGCTCCCTAAATACACACTGCAAGACAAAAATAAACATTAGTTACTCTTTAAGGAAGCAGCACAATGTAGGTCCAGCAGGAAAATCAAAACCAAACTCAGAACTATTAGATTTTGACATTTATTTATCAGAGTGCTTTCAGATTTGCATTCTTATTGTTATCCCTTAATATTTGCTTTGACTGAGGGCCTGTGCTCCTGCTCTGGCAGAATCTTTCATGCCTACAATTCATCAGACCATCAGGCACTTTTATTCTGCAGACCTCCTTCTGCTCTTTTCCCCCAAAACAGGATATCCCATATGCTGGGTCATACAATGGGGAGGGATGATGGTGTGAAGCTTGCAGCTGGGGAGCGTGCCTTTTAGCGGGGCTCCTCTGAATGTGGGCCCAGCTGGAGGCACGTTCTCTGGTTGTAGCACATCAGCACGTAACAGCCTCTCTCTCACTTTTGTCATCCGACTTCATGCACCACCCACAGCTACTCATCAGATCCCACACCAGTCTGCTGGGTTGGGTCATGGAACGGAAGGGCACCCGGACCCAACTGTTCTTCAAAACTATGAATCTTCTGCCCCTTCCATCCACCCCCAGTTCACAAGCAGCTTTTCTGGAAGGGCTCTTCCTCTCAATAGCTGAACCCTATCCTTCTCAGGCATGAGATGCCCCAGGCTACATTCAGTGACTGGCAGGAAACACAGTGGTTCCCTAGCCAATGTGGTCTAGCTCTTGGCTTGCAAACTGCAGTTGGAAAGAGGAATAATTTGTACTTGGCTGCTGGACAAGCAGAACATCCATCAACACAAGATCCAATTCTTAAATTTAGGGAGCGAAACAGAGCCTAGGGAAGCAACACCTGAGCTAGCAGAGACCTCAGTTAGTAGCCCACACAGTGTGAGCAAGCCACTCTAGGTGGGTACTACACCCAAGCTTCTGAGCTTCTATACTTCGCAGCAGGCTGCACTGGACTAGCACCAGCATATCCTGGCTAGAATATGCCTGCAGATCTCACAGCTCAGATTCCTGTAGTATCTCAGAGCCCCCTCAATTCCTGGTTCTTAAATTACAGTCAAAGTGAGTTTGTATCTGTCAGCATCACATCAGGTCTAAAATTCACAGATCTCCAGGGAGAGTAGCCCAGCTCTGAAGTGACTGGAGTAAAATCAACTACAGGGTGGGGGCAATGGTAGATTAAGGTAACAGGAAAGCCAGTTAACAGAAGTCTCTTAAACTTTCCCAGGGCTCCTCTTCTGAGGAGCAAATAAGCAAGTTTCATTTCAGGCTGAAACCAAATAAAATTATAATTTACATAAAGCCTGTCCTAGTTCTAAGTTATTAATATAATATCAAAAAGCCCAATATGACTAACCAGTTTGGAAGAGGCCACCTCCATTCTGCCACGTTGCAGACCCAGAGTCAAGGTGTTTGGGATCATGCCCCTTACACAAGCAAGCTTCACAGCTGAGAACAATTTCTGAACAAATCTGCCCTGATCCGGAAGCCAGGACAGAGAAGCAAGGACTTCCTCTGGGGCTCCGGGAGCCTCTGTACTCTGAAAGGTACATGCCATTTTCAGACTGAAGAGTTATTGCTCTGTGGATTCTTGGACTGACTTGATTTTCTCAGCCGAGAACTCAGACTGCTGTGTTTGACAGCAAACTCCCCTTCCCTGGGCGATAACAACATCAGACCAAGGGCTGAAGCCATCTTATTTTGCTTTTACTGGCCAAAATTAGGAACATTTGTTGTCCTCTGTCAAATTTCTATGTGTAATGCTAATTAAACCAAACAGGAAAAACATTTCTGTGTCCTCATGCAACTAATCACTCCTGGGCCCAAAGAACAATCTCAACCTCTTACCAAGTGTATGAATAGTTCCTTTCACCCTGAAATTAAACTTGGTTCCCAAGGCATGGACTGGGTGTTAGAAATATTGACACTACCGAGGGCTAACCCTCACCACTTTGTAGATTAAGGGAACCAAAGAAAAGGGCACTGAGAGGACGATCTCTGGAACTCACAGTCTTTTAAGGACAAACCAAGAAAAGGATTTAGATAATCCAGGGGCCAGCATACTCTCGAAAAGACTTTGCCTGGCCGGGCTTCAACATGGCCTTTCCTCTCACTAGAACGACCAGCAATTTTTGGCATCTGTCTAAAGCTCTTGAAGCTACTGTTTCAGGCTCCCTGCAGACTCAGGAAGATGTAGTTACAACAGCAGAAATGCCTTCATAAGGGCTATGAACTGTTGTTTTCTATAAAAGCTGAAGCTCTTATCAAACACCACCATGAAGTCAACCTATCAATACCTTAAATTCAGCCCCGTGCACATACAACAGGAAGTCACCTTTACAGTTACCTTTACCAAAGAAACAAAGGCAGATGATTTGGCACTTGGATTTGTTTTATAACAGAAACATTCTGTAAAACAACCTACATTAGACAAGTTCTGACGCTGTCAACTGACATCCGTCTGCCACAAAAGACAGACAGAGGATTTACGTTAAGGGTTTGTTTCCCTGAGGTCCAGGAGAATCTTTCAACTGGGCCAAACCTCCTAAATCCTTCCTTATTTTCCCCCACTTTTTTATGTGAAGGCAAGGCATAAACTCCTTTTGGGATTTCAGAGTTTCAAATCAAGAAACCAATTCACTACCTTTTTTGGGGTGCAGGGGGTGAGAGCCAGAAGGGCAAAGGGGGCAGTGGGTGGCAGAGGAGAGGAAAAAGCTTGCTCTGCTCTGTTGCAAAATCACAAACAAAAGAGCTCTGTGGTAGTACAATGTGTTGCTAATTATGATCATGCAAAAAGTTTCTTTTGTCTTTTGAGTTGTGGAGGATTGCAATGATTTATTTCCATGTGGAAAGAGGCCAAAGATATTCCTCCTCTCTTTCAAACAAAACTGCACGTTTCTTGGTCCTGTGCCGTCTGGTCACTCCTTCCTAGCCTGACCTACTGCTTTAGGCTAAGCCAGGATGCAAGGGACTTGGGTTCTACTCTAAGTCTGCTTGAGCCGGTTATGTGGACCTGGGCAAGCCCACTGGTGGAAGCTTCTTCCCTTGCTCCCCCCATCCCTATAAAGTCAAGGCCAAACCATTTATTGATGTTTGTAAACTTTGTACTGAGTGTTGGGATTTAGCTGAATGATTGGCTTTGGCAGTGAAGCCAGCTGAAGAAGTTTCTTATTACCCCTTGACCACCAATTCCCAGGCCAGTTCCATACTTCAGCCCTCTGGGGTTCGCCAACAGAAGTGTTTGTGGGTCTACACTATAAACTCAGTAACTGATGGGATTCAGGTTAAAAATAACTTCACCAAAAACAATTCACCATTTAACAATCCTGCCTACTCTCTGCCATGGCTGGGAGAGCCTTGAGGAAAGAGGACAGCAGGGTAGATGGATTCCTTTGGCACACAATTAGTAGGCTATGGGAAAGAAGCTGAGAAGGGAAAAATGGCCCCTTTCTGACAGAAACCTGAAGAAAGCAGAGTCTTGGGTACTGAGTGCCAATACAAATCTCCCAACACTTAACTCCAAGCGTCCACTCTGATGACACCTGGTTTGGTCCCAAAACGATGTAGTGGCATATGGACTTCTGCAAGGGCTCTACTAGAACATTAGGGCTCTCTTTGGCCTCTGTTATTCCAGAACAGTGAACGTGGCCACTTCCAGTATTTTGCTGGGCAAAATGAAAGATGTATTTGTGCTCTGACAGAATGAGTAATGCTGACCCCTGATACAAAACAGGCCAAGCCAAACACCACTTTGATTTCCCTGGCAGCAGAAGCAGTGCAGTTCTGATGTATGGCACATGAGGGAAGGGCAGTTAGAGACTGGAGAGCATACTAGGTCTGCTATTTAATTCTGTTTCACATTGCTCCCCATCTGCACACACCAACTGGTGTAGGAACATGTGGCTCAAGATGGAGACAGATGATGCTGCTGCATCCATTGAGGAAGGCTATGAACATAAAAATCAATGTTCAGCAGATCCACCAGCCCCTCCAGGTGTAAGGCTGGTAGGCAGAACATATTTGAAAGATTTATCTTTGTCCACCCAGAGGGGTCTCTGACCCAAGACTGTTCACAAAGGCTTCCAGGACAGAGCCCACTTCTTGTGTTGCCTCCTTAATCAGTTGCTTGTTTAAATGAGCACTGAGCTCACAGGGGTTTAAAGAGAGAGAAAGCCAAGACAGCTACAACGGGCCAGCACAGTTGAACATTTTATCATTCATTTGCACAAAATGTCCAAATATGTGCACGCAATCCAAGGGCATATTTCTGGGAGCTGGCAGCCCATGAAGTCTGCTAGTGTCCCTCAGGAGAAACTTATGCAACCCACATTTGGAATCCATCAGCAAATCTGATTCTATGGACTCTGCAGCAAGGGTCAGATTTGCAAAGGTGTTGAGATGTTTAACCATGCATGGAAGCATGCCCTGCTCATGCTATCCCTCCACAAAACAAAACCTTGGCTAAACTAACCACATTTTTTTTCTGATGACAACGCTGTGTCTCTGCTAAAGGTTCTGCCAGCTTCAATTTGAGTGTGAATTTGAGCTTTAAAACAACATCATTTTACTTTCCAAATATTCTATCACAGACCCGAATCAAAAGCTGTTTGTTGTCAGATAGTTTCCATCTCTGCCACTGCGCACTAAATTCTTTCAACTTTAGACAAAGGGCTTCCCCCAGTTCATTTTATTTTGGGAAAAAATCGTCTTTCCCTGCTTCCATAAAATTCTCAGCAGAAGAATGATTGAAAAACCAGAAGGAAATGCTTGCTAGAATATAGTGATTTTTCCACCAGCTACTCTCATTTCCCTCTTTATGACCCCAAATATTTTAATTGGTCTGTATAATTTCAATTTAAAATAAGCACAGCACAAATAACTTCATAATTGTAACAATATAGTAGACAGTGTCACAGATAAAGATCATACCTACCCATACAAAATACTAAATGAGAAGTAAGATGTTTCATGAGTTCAGAGTTCCCAGAAACAATGGGTTAGATTTGCAAGACAGAGGAAGCCAAATAACTCTCCACTGGCATCCAAATGAAGTTTTCCAGAGTGCTCAGCTCTTAGCAGCTCTTGCTGTCCTCCAAGAGCACATAGATTTCTCAAAACCTTGAACTCAGATGCAGAAAACTTCCCCATACACACACTGCAGTACTGCCTCTGTATTTAGAAGTGTTTCTACAGTGCCAAGCACTGATACTGACAATGCTGCTTTGGTATTAATAATATTGTAGCTCCTGTACTTCCTTACAAGTTTATAAATCAGCATTTCTGTGACAAAAATCACAGCAAATAATTCACATCTTCCTATCTGGAAAAACGTACAGCAAGAAACAGCTCAGTTGGAAACTCTGCACTGAGAAGAACTGAAAGAAGGCAACTGAAGGCAAGTCATGCCAATTATCCCAAAAAAAGCGAATCACCTACTCACAGAGAAACCCTATTTACCCTGTCCCATATCTGACACTCTACTTCCTCCCTACATAGCACATAACAAACAAAAATATTCCAGGAAAATACAGTACCTCTTTGAGTACAGAAATCTAGCCTGGAGATATGCATTTTGTTAGCTGTGTAAGTACCTTCTTACCTCTTTTGAGCTGAAAGCACTGTGTGTATTAATGGCTATTTATCCTAACAGCTTCAGGAAAGCATATCCTTCAAAGCAATACTTAGCTGTAATCCCATGTTTGCAAACATCTTTAATTTAAGCTCTTAAATCATTGTCTTGGCTTGATCCAGTCACCTTCCTGAAGAACGTTTTTGCAATGTATTTTACGCATCACAAATCTTAATAACAAAGTTAAGCTACTTTCTGTTGACAAAACATCATATTTAGAAGTAGGTTATTTATTTACTGACTACGTCTTTGTTCATTTAGTTTTGCTCTGAGGTACGGAAATGCACCAGTAAAGCTGGGATTTGAAGGAGAAAAGGATGTAGGGACAAGGATGAGAAAAGGATGCAAAAGCAACCAGGGAGAGTCAAACGACAAACGCTTAAGTAGCTTGTGTCAAGTCCTGCATTTTTAACACCCTGTTGATTAACTAGACCTCCCATCTCCAAGACCCTCTGTGAAGAGCTGAACACAGAAGTTACCACCACAAGCACAAACAAAACATACACAAGTTGTTCAGCTCTCTGAGAAAGAATAAAGCTATTTGCCTTCTTCATATAAACACAACACTTTGTTCTTGTCCCAAAACTACAGAAATGCAAAGATAATTACTGCTGAGGCTAGTATTCTCCAATATTCTTACCTAATCAACATACACTCTGAAGAACAGCCAAAAGCTGCTTGATGTGTTAAATAAACATTTAAATATTCAAACAAAGGGTCCATCATGTAATGTGCTCCCTTCTCAGTGAAAGCTGTAGGAAATTCAGTGAGAGCTCTGCTTCAGACACCACCAGCATGGAGATTACCAGAGAAGTTTCACTGTCTCATGCAAACTATCTGAAGTCAGTGTGGCACAATCTTTAGCTAAAACTCTACGAAGCATCTCTCCTCAAGCCTTACAAACAAGCATAAGGAGTTGTGGCAGACACTGCATTAGTTTATGAGGTACATATTATATTATCTTGGGCTTTTCTCTCTGAGAAGCCAAGAAATGCAAAGGTAACATCAAATTAGATACATCACTTGGGTCTGACTGACCTTTCATGAGCAGCAAAAGTTTCACAGACATTCAACAGCCCCTGCAAGGTTCCCCAGACTTTTAAAAAATGTCACTGCTAAAGGGAATGAGACAGAAAAAAAAAGGAAAAAAAAAAAAGTGTTAGCAATGCCACTTATTGAGACTGAAGTCTAACACTAATACAGACAGCCTGTGATCAAAAGTATGTTGGCAAGATGGATGGAGCACAAGGGGTAGGCCTTCAGAACAATTACATTCAATAATATCCTAAAAAAATTAGGATTCAAAAATAATTCAATGGAAAAAATGCACTAGTACAGAGCTTTTATTTATTTATTTATAACCTCAAATCATCAACCACAGGCAGGGTAAAATACTCTCCCACTATAGGAATAAAAATAGTACTGGCTAGACTTGTTTGTTGTAGATACATTACCTTAACAAATTTAACTCTTTTTGCTGTTTGGCACATGCTTAACAAACAACTCTTGATTTCCCTAGAAGTATTCGCTAATAACTCTTCAGTGGTTTCTGCAAGACATTGGTACACTTTTCCTCATTTCAGTGTTCCTACTGTTACTCAATCATGCAGGATTGTGTCTGCTCCCTAACTGGCTGATTTTAGGAATGAAAATTTAATGACAAAGAAAGAATTTTCTCAGCATGAACTTCCAGTAAAACAATTCACTAAATGCTTTTCTGAAACCATTTGTGAAACTGCTAAAGTTTCTGACAATTTGGAGCGAGGGTGGAGGAAAAGGCCAAACCCATAAAACAATAATTATCAATAAATAATGATTCATGATTTAAAGTAGTATAAAGTCTATATATAGATATATATTCCTCCACCTGAAAATGAGCTCCAGCCACAAACTCAACTATTGTTTGAAAGTTAATCTGCTACTTAAACAGCAATGTACCAGCCACCAGATCCTTTCCTTTCACAACCAGGGCAGCACATATTCTACCACTCTCACATGGCCTAAGGCCATGAAGTTCTCTCTGTGGTACAGTCTCCAGAAAATGAACAGAGCCAATTTCAATGAGCACTGAGGAGTAAAACGCGTAACGTGGAGAAGCCCCTCTGCTTACATAGACTATTATACCACAAACGACTACAAGAAACAATGTCTGCCTTAAAAATCCACAAACAATGTTTCCACCGACTCTCAGCCCACAATCCATTCAGAGCAGCAACCTCAGCTTCAGTATTTCTCCTCCTCACAATTACCACTTAAAACCCGCTGAATACAGATGCTACTGTTTTGTTTCATCTAACCATCTAACATATTTGCTCCTTTTCCAAGTATTTCTAACACAAGAAATGTGTTTATATGTGAAAATGGGGAACTGATCAATGGAATGTTGGTACCAGTAAGTCACCATTAGCAGAGGTAACTTGCCTTATGCCATATTATTCCCCGAGGCTTTGGTCGTTTGCAATCAGTCTTGATAGTTCTTGTTGGAGTGAGTATATAATCCACAGTTAAATCATGATCACCAAGAAGCTCTTCTGCTATGTCGACCACCTACACAGAACAAGATTTGTTAAGTAGTTAGAATAAATTCACTAAAATCGCACACCATTCCTGATGTCTTGCAACATAGGAAAATCTCTCGGTGATAGCGGAAACAAAGTGAAAATGCCACACCAATGTCATGCCAAGTCTCATCTTCAGACATACCATTCACTCTCACATAGTTCTGAATCATCACTAAAGAGGGGATATTCCAACTTACCTGACAGTCATGCACAATAGTAACTACAGGTGTATCCTCCTGCACTGCGCCCATTGACACCATCATCGCATATTCCATGTCTGCATAACCTTCCCCTTTTCCAATTCTCCAGCCTAAAATACATGAAAGTAAACAGTGATAGGAAATGCAAAAACAGCAGAGTGGAAAGGTGGATTGCTGTCAAAAGCATGCAATTAAACCAAGCAGCCTGCAACAGCACAGACTTGTAATTCAAGATAAAAATCGCATCAGTGTCTCTCACAGGATGCAGCTTTCCTTGTAATCAGCACTGAAATTAAAATAAAAAATTAGTTTAAATGAACTCCTAAAGGAGCCCAGGAGCCTCCCATTCTGAATAAACCACATTTAGACCAATTCAGTTAACACAGAACCCTGTTTACCCATTGTAATTAGAACACTCTATTCATGTCAACATAGGTTAACTTCATGTGGGTAAAGAGGAACCCAGCTCACATACAAAAACCATGTTAGTTTTAAGCAATGGATAAGGAATGGATAAAGTCAGTGGAAAATATTTCACCACCAGCAGGTCTTCAAAATACTGGAAAAGGCAAAATCTGATCCCCAAATAGGTACTGAATCAACAGTAACACATGTCCTTTCACACACCCTTGCAAGCAGAGCAGATCCTCTAAACAGGGAGCCCTTTTTGATTCTTAAAAAAAAATAAATTAAAATGAGATAAAAACTGCTTGCTGAATAGTTCTACCGAAGGCCAAAACACTGGCCCTCACACTCCAAATCACATTGCTGCCTGCCCACCAAGCCCTACCAGCACTGTTGTGAAGCAGGCATTGATTCTTCCTGGTTGGACTGGGATCAGTGACTTGTCACACAGAAGAGACAGAACTCAAAACTGTAATTAAGTTCCAAAGACATGTTTGGGTCTGCTAAAAGGACCATGTAGTGTAGCCTACTGAGGCTGTGAATCATGACTTGGGACCCTCCTCCTGAAAAGCTCCTGATAAGGCTTTAGCTTACCTTTTTCAGAGACAGCCACTGATCCTACAACAACCAAGTCCACTTGTGCTTTCCCTTCAAGACCTACAGGCACACTGTATTCTTTTATACCCTGCAAGAGTAACGTAATATTAGGTTTGCAGAGTGCAGTTTTCCAACCAGTGAGGCAGAAATCCAGAGTATTTTGATAAATCCAAGTAACTCCCCACATTTCAAAGTGTTTCTTCCATGTATAGCCAAGTTGCACATGTCTGGAAAGTTATCCTCTAGAGAATCCTAGAATAGATTCCCTACTACAGTGGCAAGAATTTTGGCACGCTTCAAGGAGAGCTGAGGGAGATGGGCACTCTTTTAAGCAAGGTTACTTATTTAGGATCAAAGCTTTGTATTTTGAAACCCTTTATTGGACATTAATTTCTAAAAATGAGGGCAAGTGACACTTCCTCCGTATTACTACCACCAACTCAAAGTCCTAATATGTAAATTCATGCCCATGAGGCATAACAGAGCACTACAAATTCATTAATTAATCCTCTCATACAAATCACAAGGTTAATTCAGACACAGACAGCTACAGCATAAAGATGTTGTCTGCCTAATGTCACAACCAGGTACAGAAGCTGCATCACCCTCCACACTGCAGCTACTGCACTGCAAGTTTCCCCATACCTGCATCTTTAAAAGCACCTTCTAAAACTGCCTACATGTTGCCTCAGAATACATTCTTCAATACTTTGCTGCATGATCATCATCTGGGAGGTGCCACTGCCAAGATAACACATCTTTTCCCCAACTTTTTACCTGAGATGCTAATGAACAGATAAATATACCACTCTTTAGAAGCGGAATGAGGAACCCTACATCCCTGCCACCTTTTTACCTTCCCCTCTCTCTCTGCTTCCACCTCTCTTCAGGCTCCTTCCTAAAGAATACATCCTAAAAAAATTCTATCCAGAGCTGCATAAATTAAAAACTGGCATCTACTTGGGATGCAAACAAATATCAGAGGTTTAGAACTTTTAAGACGATATCTTGTGATACATTCACTCTTAATATATGCATACAGTGTAATGTAAATCCTCCTCGAACCAATGCGACTTTGTGCTAAGGCAATCCTCACAGTAAAAAGCCAAATTTCCTGTGTAGAGCACAAAAAAAATAAAAAAGGTCAGTAATTTGTGACTATCAGTAATAATGCTCATTATCCACTTTGCAGGAGTGTGGAAAGATTTGTTTGCACAGTGCTTTGTAAATATAAACCTCTAATAGCATTTATTTGTTAGTACTTCTGGTTGGAGGGAAAAACATACACATGGTGGTAAGATCACAGATCAGATATGAGGCCTGAAGCAGGTCAAGAGAAAGGGCTCTTTCAAAAGTGCTCTTCAACCCTGAGAAGCTTAATTAGTTAATGACTTTAGTAGAATTTCCAACAAAGAACTTCCAAATTTAGTATAGATTCCAACTAACTGCCATCCATTTACAACCCCCGGTTGTATACAGGATTACTGTGGAACTTTACTGCCTTTAGCAGGAGATAAAGAACAAAATAAATCCATGTAGCTGGCCTAGTTATTCTGCAGAAGTTACGTTTTCATACCAAATAAAGATGCAAACGATATGACACGGGTTTTTCCGCTGGACAGCTTTAGCGGTAGAGTACGATAAATTAACACAAGAGGGCAGCAACATACCACACTTCAAGAGAAAACTTACCGCATTTTTCCGCCTGGGTTGATGCAAACGACAGAATTAACATGTCTTTAAACTCAGGATTCTAAACGAACAGATTTTTCCTGTTTAGTAAGTCCTAATATTCTATTGACCAGATTATGCAAAACCAGTAAACATCAAAATATTCCTCATAGGGTTTACTAGCTGAAAACTGCAGAATACAGGAGTACAATTTTTAGAAACCTAAAGAACTCACCTATGAAGTTGCTCAATGTTCCAAAAAGCATTCAGAAATATCAATGTCATTCTTTTAATAAAATAGAACGAAAATACTAAATTTCCTCATGATTTAACTACCAATAAAAAAAAATAAATAATGGTGAATGTGTACGTAAAACCAGGAATAACACTTTAGCAGAACAGTATGTCAGGTAGCATCTGGTTTTCCAACTTTTAGTTGGACTATTGTAACACAATACTCTTCCACCAGTTAATTCAGACCTCCCCCATTCTTCATTCCTACTTGAGATGTAGCACATATTCGCAGGATCTCTTTAGTTGCACCTAGAGGTGGGACAATCTTATTGAACAGTCCAGTTCTCAGGCGTGGCATGGGAACCAACAAAGTCTTCCTCGCCTGTGTAACAAAAGAAGTTCTCACATTAAAAGGAGGTGGGCTCATTTTACATAAAGAAATATTTTTACTGTCCTGTAGGTCTCCATTTTGTTAATCTCATTTGCTATTGGTTAGTTAGCATTGCTGATAGTGTAGTGCTTGTAGATGAATGCCCTCAAGTATGGCAAAATCCCAGGCAAGGTTTTATTTGAGAAACAGATGGCAAGACACTGACTACTGATGTATTGTGCACCTCATTCCAAAACTGAGCTACACGCATAAGCTACTGAACACACACAGGTGTGAGCTAAGTCTGTCACACACTCATCTTGTGATAAACATAATGCAATTTGAGGTAAGGCTACCTTATGCATTTCGGGGAATAAGATAACGTAAATACATAAGCTAATGTTTACAATGACAGTGAAACACCTATTGCTCTGCAGAAAGATACTACTTTCCCCAAACTCTAACTGCACCTTTGCCATTTTTGCCAAAAGGCAAAAACATCCTTACATGAGAAACTTCATGAGGCTAAGGACTGGTAAAGGTCCCACCAGAGAAACTACAGCATTTGGCCATGAGATGCCGCCAAGCACCACGGTCCCACTCTCTTCCTCAGGGGTGCAACAGTGCTGTTACCTGCAGCGCAGCTAGCCGAACACCTTCGAGAGGTTTGTCAGGATCTACTTTAATCTCACGTGCTCTGATGAACATATCCAGCTCTCTAATAGAGCAGCAAGCCTGGTGAGACCCCTGCGTGAAGAGAGGAATCAAGAGAAAAGAGAACATGTTCACTTACTTCTAGCGTTAGAAAGCGAGCGTTCTTCTGGGGAGCATCAGGATTTATTTTTACAGTCTTGGCAGCTTTGAACTCCTGTAAACCCAGAAGCCTTGTCGCAGCATGCGAGGCACCCTATTTTCATAAGATATCAGCACATCACCAAGGAGTTCACAGCAGAGATGGGCATTTTACAATCTTTAATCCTACAGAGAAATGGATTTCCCCAGATTTTAAATATGAGGGATATACTGTTAATTTTGTGATGTCTTCTAAGAGAAACTCTCACATTCCAACAGATGCTGAGCGCTTGGCTAGTATCTTGCAAATACTAGCCCTCCGAAAAAGAGGGGATCCAAGTAAGTCACTTTGCCCAACCTCACCTTTACTCACACCTGACAGCTGGAGACCTTTTTAATCAATGAATGCAAACAGATTCCCTTAAACACAAGCCAAAATTCTTCAGATGACGACTTTCTGGACAAGGCTCTCTGAGGTTTACAGACACTATATTCACCTTCCACTATAGCAGGTTGCTCCAAGCTCCTGTGTCCAAGCTGGCCTTGAGCACTGCCAGGGATGGGGCAGCCACAGCTTCTCTGGGCACCCTGTGCCAGCACCTCAGCACCCTCACAGGGAAGAACTTCTTCCTTATGTCTAATCTAAATCTGCCTTCTTTCAGTTACCGAACTCAGAAGACTCATTTCTTAGCTGAGTAAGGTGCTCAAGCTTAGCAGAGCATACACTTCTCTTGTAACTTAAGCTGATGTCCCCTTGCTTTAGACGTGACAAAGCCTCAGGCCTCCTCCACCTGCTTCAGCATCTGTCTCACCTTAAATCCAAACTAAGGCAAAACGCTTCTTCCAGTCCCTTGGGCAAAGGCAGAGCCCATGCCCTAACACTCTCCTAACACTAAAACACCCAACATCCATTCCCAAGATGCTAGTTTGGTCATCATTTCTTCAATACATGGCAGATAGGCAGCTGCACACCCTAAGCCTGGATTAAAACAGGTAGACGGTGATGCAGTGGCCTGAGTAAATGTCCTCTTATTTCTCTCCTCCCCACACCCCCCTCCCAGCCATCAAACTGGGGATGCAATGAAGCCAGAGGAAGGATTCTCCCACCACTGTCCAGCAACACTTTGCCAGTAATACCTTGAACACCATTCACGTTTTAGCAGCACAGTGTTCCCAGGCTAAGTCCTACAAGATGGGTGACTTCAGCTTTCCATCCCAACGCACCCGCTGAAGGCCCTGGGGAGTGAAATCAGTTCAGAATGCCTCAGTTTCCCCATCCATGAATATATTTATTGAGTTCACAAGGCGGTTTTGTACCCACTGATTAAAACACAGCACACACCTGCCATGTATTGTCAGGTACAGGTCCCTGTATTTCTTTACTCGCTGTAAATCACACATATATGCTGTTTGCACACTGCTTTTCGGCGCTCTGCCACCACAACCGCACAGCCCGCAGGAACATGCAGTTCATAGCTGCCTGCTCATGCAGGGGAGATGCGGGGGGAGCTTCCAGCCTGGGCTCCGACCTCCAGACTCCAAATCCCTGCGAGGCCCGAGGTCTGGAGGGAGAAAGAAGACGGGAGCGGCCCAGACCCGCAACAGGCGGGT